GGTGAGGAGTCAGCAGGGCCGGCTGCCTGGCGTTCACACACATCACCAGGGCACTGGAAGCCGGGTCCCCCACACCAGGCTGTGCCTTGGGTGAACTCCCCCATCCTGCAGGGAGCGGTGGACACAGACCCGCACCCCAGCAAGCAGTTCTTGCAGAGGCCTCCCGGCCGGGCCTGAGAAGCACCCAGTGGGGCCGGGGCGGTGGTGCCCCGGAGGGCGCGGGGTGTGCAGCTCTGGGAGAGGCACCTGCCGGTCACCTCTCCTCGCTCGCGGGCGGAGGGGAGGAAATGCTGGTTCGCTCCTACACTCAGGGTCAGCCTGCCAGGGAACCACGGTCCTGTCGGCACAGCGCCTGACCTCAGCCCTCGTCAGCCCCCCCCCACTGACGGGAGGGGGCCGGCTGGCAGCTGCCCCGGCCGGCAGCACTCACTGGAGTGGACCTTCACCGAGGACGGCCCCTCTGGAACACAGGGCACCAGAGCCCCCCAGCGAAGGACCCGAGCAGCTCCCAGGGCCTTGTGTGGGAGGGAACAGCTAACTTAAGGTTCCTGCCACTGCGTGGGCTCTGGTCCACACAGCCACCCACCTGCAGCAGACACAGCTCCAGCCAGGCACGGCAGGCCTCTGGACGGCTCCCCAGCTCCCCTTGGCCCTACCCCCAGCTTCACAGGGCTGTGTCTGCCCCTGGTCCTGTCCCCCACACCCACACCAGCCATGGGAGCTCACCTCCACCTCCTGGACAGACACGGGGTGCCACGCCGCCTCACCACTGCTTCACCCTGTTTGATCTCACGAGTCTCCTGACTTCTAGCCACACATCCCGTCCCCCCCCCCCCCCCCCCGCCTTCACTGCGGGACCAGCCCGCATGGCAGCCTGCGCTGACTGAGGCAGGTGAGTGCACCCTGGCTGCAGGCTCCCGAACTCCAGTGCTGACATCCAGGCAGCCGCAGGGCCGAGGGCAGGAGGAGGACCCAAGGCAGGGGCTCCATGTGCAGAGAGCAGCAGAGCCGGAGCGGGACCCCAGGAAGCCCAGGAGCCACCTGCAGAAGGCTGGGACCCTGCAGGGGCTTGTCACTGATGAGAGGTGGCTCTCCACCAGGGAGAAGCCTCACTCCTGCTTCCAAATCCTGGGGAGGAGGCCAGGGGGTCCCGGGATTCTCCCCAGCAAACATGACCCATGGAGCAAAAGAGAGAGACAGCCAACAGCCTCAGTACCACAGGCTTGGGCTGTGCGGCCAGGCCGGCCTGCCCCTGGCCAGCTTCCCGCTAGGATCAGAGGCATGGGCACCTGCCACCTGCGGCTCTGTGTCTGAAGAGAAAGTACTCCAAGGCCCAGGAGGGCCCGACAATCCGCAGCCATGCGGGTGGCTACACCTCTGCCTGGCTGGCCACCGGGCCTACACAGCGACAGCTCAAACTTCATATACTTGTGGGACAGAAGTGGAGCGGCTCCTAGCCAGCCTGCCCCAGTGCTGGCACCAGAGAACAACCCCCACCCCCAGCCCTGTGCTAGGCCCAGAGAACCCCCACAGCTCCTACCACCCCTAAATAAGCCTCTGCTCAGGAGGCCAACGCCTGAAGGTCATGATCTGAAGCAGCAGAAGTCCTGTGAGACCCTCCTCTCCAGTCATCCACCAGGAAGGCATTAGTGGGGCTGTGGCCAAAGTGGTAGAGCACTAGCCTTGAATGAAGCTCAGTGACAGCAGTCAGGCCTTCAGTTTAACTGGTGGCTCACACCTGTAATCCTAGCTACTCAGGAGGCTAAAACCTGAGGATCACAGTTCAAGACGTTGCAGGGTAGGAAAGTCCGTGGGGCTTTTTTTTTTTTTTGGTGGGTTGCGGGGCTTGAACTCTGGGATTGGGTGCTGTCCCTGTGCTCTTCAGCTCAAGGGGAGAGTCCTCTACCGCTTAAGCCACAGCACCACTTCCTGTTTTCTGGTGGCTAATTGGAGATAAGAGTCTCACAGGCTTTTCTGCCTAGACTGGCTTTGAACTATGATTCTCAGATCTCAGCCTCCTCAGTAATGGATTACAAGTGTGAGCCACCCGGGCCTGGCAAGAGACTCTTATCTCCAATAAACCACTCAGAAAACGGAAGTGGTGCTGTGGCTCAAGTAGTAGAGTACTTGCCTTGAGCTAAAGAGCTGAAGGACAGTTCCTAGACCCAAGCCCCAGATTCCCCCCCCACAAAAAAAAAGGATGCTGGTGGCTCATGCCTGTAACCCTAGCTACTCAGGAGGCTGAGACCTGAAAATCACAGTTCAAAGCCAGCCGCTCAGGAAACGGGAAGTGGTGTTGTGGCTCAAGCCGTATAGTGCTCGCTTTGAGCTGAAGAGCTGAGGGACAGATCCTGGGCCTGGAGTTCAAGCCCCATGACTCCCCACCCCCCAAAAAAGACCCAAGACCACACACACAAACAAAACAAAAACTCTTTCCACACCCCAGAAAATAGAGCATGTGCCTGTGAAGTCCTCTCAGAGACTGGCATTTACCTAGTTTTACAACTTCTTCAGGTCACCTTCCTGAACCCCAGCACCTTAAAATGGGTTCCATGGTGCCATTCCTGCCACTTGTGCCCAGCTGACCCCCAAACTACCCTGCTGTCCGCTCAGTGCCCCCACTGTCCTAGGAGGGCAATATAACTGACAACCTGACACCTAGTGCCCCATCAGCTTAAAAAAAATTGTTTTTGGATGGCCCCAGACTTCAACTCCCCCAGGCCATCCACAGAGCAGCTCTGGGGGCCAGCCCTCCTGGCCATCCTGACCCCAGCTAGGATGCGGACAGCACAGGGCTTAGCGGCCCGTGGCTACCTTTGCCCTCACAGGAAGAAGCGCCAGCCTACTGTGGGGATGTAACCTACACCCGAAATCAAAAATAGCAGCATGGCACGCGGTGGACGGGATGCCGGCAGCCCAGCCGGCCTTCCGGGCTGGGGGGAGGAGGCCGGGGTGGGGCTTGGCCACCAGGTACCAAGTCCACTTCTTTCCCTGACTCAAGCGTTGATTCCAGGCGATTCTGGGAAAGCCCAGCTTACAGAGGACGAGTCACAACCACCCCCGGCAACGCCTGCCACCCGCTGCCCCACACGGCCCAAGGGGCCTCGGCTCTCCTGGGGGGGGGGGGGGGAGGAGACACTCCTGGGACAAACCAAGAACCCCCCATACCCAAGAAAAGCGCAGTCCCGGTCAGTCCGAAGGGGAGCGCTGAGGAGGGCAGGAAGGAGATTGCCCAAGGCTGCGGGGAGCAGCCCGCCAGGGCGGAGGGGGAGGGACGCGACTGGGGCGGCGGCGGCAGGGAAGACGCACGTCGGGGAAACTCTGGGGCCAAACAAGTCCGGGGCAGGAAGAGAGCCACATTCCTTCCGAGTTAGTGTCCACAACCCGCCGCCTGCCGGCCGGCCCGGGACCAGGCCCAGTGCACCGCCGCCGCCGTGCCCACCCTAGCCCCCCGCCGTGCCCACCCCGGCCCGCCGCCGTGCCCACCCCGGCCCGCCGCCGTGCCCACCCCGGCCCCCCGCCGTGCCCACCCCGGCCCGCCGCCGTGCCCACCCCGGCCCCCCGCCGTGCCCACCCCGGCCCGCCGCCGTGCCCACCCCGGCCCGCCGCCGTGCCCACCCCCGCCATGCACACCCCCGGCCCGGCCCCGCCGCCGTGCCCCCCCCCCCCCCGGCATGCCCATCCCCGGCCCGGCCCCGCCGCCGTGCCCACCCCAGCCCCCCGCCGTGCCCACCCCCGGCCCGGCCCCCCGCCGTGCCCACCCCCGGCCCGCCGCCGTGCACACCCCCGGCCCGGCCCCCCGCCGTGCCCACCCCCGGCCCGCCGCCGTGCCCACCCCCCGCCGTGCCCACCCCGGCCCGCCGCCGTGCCCACCCCGGCCCGCCGCCGTGCCCACCCCGGCCCGCCGCCGTGCCCACCCCCCGCCGTGCCCACCCCCGGCCCCCCGCCATGCCCACCCCGGCCCGCCGCCGTGCCCACCCCCCGCCATGCCCACCCCCGGCCCGGCCCCGCCACCGTGCCCCCCCCCGCCATGCACACCCCCGGCCCGGCCCCCCCGCCATGCCCATCCCCGGCCTGGCCCCGCCGCCATGCCCACCCCCGGCCCGGCCCCCCCGCCGTGCCCACCCCCGGCCCAGCCCCCCGGCCCCGCCGCCGTGCCCCCCCCGCCATGCCCACCCCGGCCCGGCCCCCCCGCCGTGCCCCCCCCCGCCATGCTCACCCCGGCCCGGCCCCCCGGCCCCCCCGCCGTGCCCCCCCCCCCGCCATGCCCACCCCGGCCCGGCCCCCCGGCCCCGCCGCCGTGCCCCCCCGCCATGCCCACCCCGGCCCGGCCCCCCGGCCATGCCCACCCCGGCCCGGCCCCCCGGCCCCGCCGCCGTGCCCCCCCCGCCGTGCCGCGACCCCGCACGGGGAGCCCGGCCGCACGCGCGCGCACGCCACCCAGCCGTGCCCGAGTCACACCTCAGACCGAGGATCCCCGAGGGGGCCGCGCCCCGGCCCGGCGGCCGACCCCGCACGTCCCCGGAGGAAGGGCCCGGAGGAAGGGAAGCCTCCGAGCCGCGTCCAGGCGCGCGGCCCCGACTGACACCGCGGCTGCCCGGGCGCAGCGAGGGCCCGGCCCGAGCAGGGGTCGCCCGGGCGGGGAGGAGCCGCGCCCCGGACGGAGCCGGCCCGGACGGCCCTCCTGGCGAACCCCCGGGCCCGAGCCCCCCGCGCCGGCCGGACGGCGGGGCGCCCCGGCCGCCAGGCGCGAGGCCCGGCCCGGCCGCCAGGGTCCGGGCCCCGCGGAGGCCGGGCGCTCCCCGCTCGGCGCGGCCGCCCCGCGGGGCCCGGGGGCTGAGGAGGAGAGCGGAGCCCGCTTTCGCCGCCCGCCGGCCCGGGCGGGGAGCCCGCGAGCCGCAGCCCGCAACCCGCGCTGCCCGGCCCGGGCGCCGCGGCCAGGGGCGCGTGAGGCCGGCGGGCCCGCGCCCCGCAGCCGCCCTGGACCCCGCGCCGCTCACCTGGCCGGCGCGGTAGCTCTCGAAAGCCTTCAGGGCGCTGTCGGTGAGCTTCACGTGGAACACGGACACCCGGCTGCCGTCGCTCACCCTCCCGCAGGACAGCCCGTAGCTCCGAGCCTCCTTCAGCGCCGCCATCTTGCGACCATCGTTCCCCCGCCCCCCACTTCCCGGCTCCAGCGGCGCCGCGCCGGCCCCGCCCCGCCGACGTGCTGCATTATTCATGAACGTGCTCGGCCACGCCCCCGATGCCTTGAGAGCCAACGGCCGCGGCCGTGTGGGTCACCGACGCACCGTATTATTCATGACGTAAGGAGCGGCCACGCCCCCTGCGTGTAACGAAAAATTCCTGGTCACTGCCCGTTCATGCATATTCATAGAGCTACAAGCAGCCGCTGGGGCGCACGAGCTCCGCCTTCACACGCGCACCCTCCCAAGCTCCGCCTCCACATGTATTATTCACGACCTGACGGGACCCGGCGCGCCGCGGCCCCGCCCCGCCGGGCGCTGACGTGATGCATTATTTATAAGATCCCCCAGCGGCTTCCGTTTTTGGCGTCTGTTGAGAGTCGCGGCGAAGGCGTGGAGGGGGCGCGGCCACCGCAAAACACGTGGGAGGCGGGGCCAGCGGTGATGTAGGACGCCGTGGGCGTGGTTATGCAAACGAGGCGCGGTGGGGCCGCTGTGTCAGGATGGGCTGGTGGGACGGGGCTTCCAGGGCCGCGGGAGCTGGGGAGCGGCCAGCCGGCGCCCCCGGGGCCGAGGACAGGCCAGCCTTCGGGGAGCAGAATCCGAGGCGCCGCGGAGCCCGGCTCCATTCTCAAAAAACACCAGGAAAAGGATAGCCAAGGCTTTATTGACAAGCTCTCCGGTGACGCCACAAGTTGTGCAACCTCCAGCCGGGACTTCCGGCCCACGTCAGCGCGGCCACCCCGCGGGGAGCGGGGCTGGGGGGGACTGGAGCCCGCCCCGCCCGGCGGCTGCGCCCCGACGGCTGCCCCGCCCCGCGGCTGCGCCCGGACCCCCTGGCCTTCCCCGCACCGCGGCCGCCCCGACACCCGGGGCCGCGCCTTCGGCCCCGCCAGGCTTCCTGTGCGTCCATCGCGGGCACTGACCACAGGAGAGGGCCGGGTTCGCGCTTCGTTTTTAGGTTGATGCCTGCAAGTTCAAGGCCCCGTCCCCCCCCCCCCCCCCCCCCCCCCGCCGATGGGCCGGGGTGGCCGTCCGCCCTCCTCCCACCGTGGGACACACTTCCAAATCCACCCGCACCTGCTGGGAGACCACGTGGAAGCACGAGAGGAAGGTGCCGAGGCTCCCGCCCGTCACCCCGGCGACTCAGGAGGCTGAGATCTGAGGATCGCGGTTCAAAGCCAGCCCGGGCAGGAAAGGCCACGAGACTGTGATCTCCAATGAACCACCAGAAAACCGGAAGTGTTGCTGTGGCTCAAGTGGTAGAGCGCCAGCCTTGAGCTGCAGAGCTGAGGGACAGCGCCCAGGCCCCAAGTTCAAGACCCAGGACCAACCGAAAAAATAAAATATAAAGTACATGGGAGTGGCAGGCACTAGGTCCAGAAGGCTGAGATCTGAGGATGGCAGTTTGAAGCCAGGATGAACAAGAAAAAGTCCTGGGAGATGGAAGTTCAAAGCCAGCTGCGCCACATGGAGATCCTCCTCAGATGATGATGTGACCCCACAGTGAGACCTGAGGATGCTCCAGGCCCCAGGTTGGCACCAGCGACTGCACCCGCAGTGCTCTCCTCCATCTCCCACTTGGGGAAACTGAGGCCTGGGGAAAGGAACCAGGCCTCAGGTCGGCCTGGACACAGGCGGCCCTGTGTCCCGTGCCCTCCCAAGTGCAGTGCTGGTGTGGACTCTGCGCTTTTTCTTCCCTCTGGAAGGCAAGACAGCCATGAGAGGGGCCTCGAAGCTTCGACCGTGCCGGCACCAGGATGTGCAGGGGTTCAGGGAGAGCCCCACGCACCCCCAAGCCCAGAGGCCAACAGACACCAACTCCAACACACCCTCATACCCCAGGGCCCTTGCAGTGGCTGCCTCCCAGGGCTTGGGCTGCAGATCCTGAGGTCAGAAGCAGCCCCAGGGAGGGGCCCTGCCAGCCCTGGCCCCAGCGTGAGCCCCTCAGCTGTTCCTTCCTTCCCAGCCCCATCGTTCCTCCGCAGTGGCACAAGCAGGGCCCCCATGCAGGGAAGAGACCCTGGAGCGGACCGGAGCAGGCTGCAGCCTGGCTCGGCCAGCGTCCTGGGTGACCCGGGGAGTGGCTCGGGCCTCGCTGGTCCAGCCAGCCGCAGGGAAAGAGCTGGACATGGAGTGCAGGGGAGACTTTATTTCACGGTGGGAGCCTGGACAGGGCAGCAGGCAGCGCGAGGGATGGAGGAGGGGGGTGCAGTGCTGCCCCTGGCCTGCTGAGGAGAAACTGAGGCCAGCTAGGGGAGGCCTAGCCCGGGGAGGGGGGGGGGGCAGGAGAACCGGGGCCAGGGGACCAGGCCCCTCCCTCCAGGCTGTCTCTCCTGCTGGTGGGTTGCTGGGCCCGGTCCTCCCTGCCTGGCCTGGGAGGGGCGGGGGGAAGCCAAGGGAGGGCGGGGCACGGAGCCTGAGGTCGGGGAGCGCGGGGTGGCAGACCCTAGGCGGTCAGTTCCGAGCAGCGATGACCACAGAAAGCGCCACGCCCCCGAGGGCCACGGCGGTCGCCCCGAACAGCCACTTCCACGGGATGGACTGCGGGTATGGAAGGAGGGTCAGTTTGGTCTCCGGAGGCCCCACACCCGCCACGGCGGACACCCGGTCCCCAACCAACCACTGCTTACCACATCTCTCCACCTTTGACTAACTCCTACACATGCATCAAAACCTAAAACACTTTGGAAAGCTGATGGCTCACGCCTGTCACCCTAGCTACTCAGGAGGCTGAGACCTGAGGATCATGATTCAAAGCCAGCCTGGGCAGGAAAGTCTGTGAGACTCATCTCCAATAAACCACTAGAAAACCAGAAGTGGTGCTGTGGCTCAAGGTAGGGAGCTTGCCTTGAGCTGAAGAGCTGAGGAACAGTGCCCAGGCCCAGAGTTCAAGCTCCACAACCAACCAAAAAAATAAATAAACCCCTCGGGAGGCTGAGATCTGAGGATCAGGGTTTGAAGCCAGCCCAGGCAGGAAAGTCCACGAGACTCCCTTATCTCCAATAAACTGCTCAGAGAAAGAAGTGGCTGCTGTGGCTCTAGGGGTAGAGCGCTAGCTCTCAACACAAAAAGGCTCAGGGATAGCGCCTATGCCAAGAGTTCAAGCCCCAAGACTGGTAAAACAAACAACCACACCGAAACCCCGCTGTCCATGCCTCCCCTTCCCTGGAAGGACCACCACAGCCTGCTCTGAACCTCAGGCAGGGCCGCTGTCCCCAGGCCCCTTGACCAGGCAGAGGCCTGGCAGCACTCACCCAGGCCCCCTTGCCAGGGCACTTGGCGGGCAGCCGGCTGGGGTTGCCCAGCATCTTCCGGTACAGGGCGGTCTCCGTGCTGCGCTGCGCTGCGTGCTTCTTCACCAGCTTCGACAGCTCTGCGTGGATCGTCTGTGCAGGCGGCAGGGAGGGCTGAGGGTCCCTGCCAGCCACGGGCCCTCTGCCCCCTCCTGGAGTCGGAAAAGTGGGGCTGCCGTTCCCCCCCCCCCATGGTGCAGAGCCCGCATGCCAGCAAGGGGCGGCGGCCTGGGGCTGGGGAGGGTAGGCGGGGCTCACCTTGTTGGAGGGCTCCAGCTTCAGCGCGGTTCTCAGAATGGGAATGGCCTCACTGTACTCGCCCTGCTGCGCCAGCACCTGGGAGCGAGGACCCGGGAGGACCCACAGCTGCAGCTGCACCCCGGGGGGGGCCTTGGGGCCGGTAAGGGGGAGGTCTGGAGTGGGCGGGCCCCTGTCACGCTGGGGGTCCTGGCACTGTCTTCCTCCCGCTTTCCACTGCCATCCAGGGGGGGTTTCCAGCCCTGCAGCCAGGGAGGCCCTGGAGCTGGCAAAGCCCGAGGGGCGGAAACCGCCAGGCGCCACCGCACGCTGCAGCCAGCGGGGACTGGGCCGGCTGGAGCAGCCCGGGGCCGGCCTGGTGCCTCTGGGTCCTCCAGCTTGCGGCCCCACCTCAGGCCCTGCATGGTGCTGAGTACTAGGATCTGTGCACCAGGCCCAGGGTCCACCCATCCCCAATGCAGGCCAAAGCCTGGGGCGGACGGGGTAGGAGGTGGCACCCCTGGACCAGGCTGGAAGGCCCTGGGCCGGACACAGGGGGGAGGGCATGCGGTGAGGGGGACTGGGTGCGGAGACGGGGCGGGGGGAAAGGGGGGCACGCGGGGTGGGAGAGCCGGGCATAGGGGTGGGCACGCGGGGAGGGGAGCGGGGGCGCACCTTGCCCTTGCGGAAGAGCGCCTTGACGTTGTCCGGCTGGTGCTGCAGCACCAGGCTGCAGGAGCGCAGCGCGGCGCGGTAGTGGTCCAGCTTCAGCTGCGACGCGGCCAGGTTGTTGAGACACTTCACCTTCAGCTGCAGCAGCTGCTCCTCCTCCTCGAAGCTCACGTCCACTGCAGGCGACAGCGCACATGGCACGGCCGGCCTGGGAGGCCACGGCGTGGGGGGCCCCAACACCATCACCCCCACGTTGACTGGAGAGGGGGCGGGGCCTGCTAGGCCAGTTGTGGAACGTTCCAGAGGGCTGAGGCCTTGGGCGGTCACCTTTGGCGCTGGCGGTGATGGCCTTGATGGCCAGGTCGTAGGAGTTGGCGGCCAGCACGAAGTCCGCCCGCTGGTAGTGGGCGTTGCCGCACTCCCGCTTCCGGTCGGCCAGGGCCACGCGCTCCTGGCCGGTCAGCATCTCCAGGTTGGGGCCGTCCACCGCCGACTTCAAGGTGACCTCCAGGCACAGAGCCGCGTGGGGGGGGATGTAGGGGCTCCTGCTGGGGAGAGGGGCCACACTGGGACCGGGTGCCCCCAGTGAGCAGGACGGCACCGGCCGCGCTCTGCCTCCCCCCGGGGCCCCCCCAGGTCCCCTGTGGGCGGGACGGGACCCCTGCGCACGGGGGCGGGGCGGCCAGGGCGGCTCTCACCTGCCCTGGGGGCCATAGCAGTACTTGGAGTCAGCGGTAACCATTGCCGTCTCTCC